AAAAACAAGCAAAAAAGCGCAATAAGATAAACTGGACCGATGAGAGACAGTTAAAAAAAAAGAAAAATAGCTCTTAACGCAAAACTTTAAGCAAAATAAATACGATTAGAGCAAATATTTTTGAAACGTCACTCTTTTATAATTTTTTTTTTAAAAAAAAAGCGACATTTTTTGTATATAGTAACAACGTACTAATAATGATTGTTTAATAAAGAAACAAATGTTCTTCAATTTATCAAAGATTATATATAATTTTTATTTATATACTTATGTCTTATTTCCAGTGCTGGAAATAAGAGGTGGGGGGGGGGGGGTAAAAGAGTTATAGTCTCGGGACACACAATGTTATGGGCTGAGAAATAGTCAAGAGGACCTATCGGTATTTTTAAGTCATTTTTACGCTGTTGCACATAAAAAAGGCCACCAAAATAATGCAGCCCCCAGCCCTGTAAAGTCCAACAAGATTAAACCAATAAAACTAACGCTACATAATTTAATTATAAATAAAAAATGTTATTTCAGTACCTGTTTTATGCTTCGCGTAGTTTGAAAAGTTTAACATATTTGAAACAATTCTTCTTAGTAAGATGAACAAATGAAATAACTAAATCATTGAGTTACTGTGGAAATTTAATTAGCTAGATAGAAGTTAACTAAAAACGTTAAATTACTTTGTAAGGAGGAAGCGGAACTGCTTAACAATATCGCTGATGATGTTTAGTGAGTGGGCTTTATATTTTTAACTAGTATTTTACAGAAAAAAAAAACTTTAAGTGTAAGTATAACGAGTTTTTAAGAATGGCTGAAGCAAAAATAATTGAAGTTAATAAACCAATTTCTAATACATTACATACATATAAATACATCCCTTATATATAAAAAATAAGATTATTCTAATTAAATCTATAATATATTTACAAAACATTGAAAAGAAAAAAATATAAATTTAAAACATTTATTTTTGTAAACAAATGTTAGTTTAAAACATTTATAGCTTTATGGATGTGACTCCGAGAATAAGCCATGGTATTAAAATAATTGTTCGTTTGATAGTATATTCTTAAAACAATTGATGCTAGAATTCTCAACGAAAACATAACAAAAACAAAAACAAAACAAAAAAAGATTTTGAAAAATAATTAAACAGAATACTCTAGAACAGTCGCTTGAATTCTTTAGTAATTTCAGTTATTTATTAATAGAACCAATAGAATTAGTTGTTCGTAAATTTGGCGGGTTTTTTGTGTTCGCAAATATTCTTTATTTATTTTTCCGCACTAAGATGTTTGACAACATTCAAGTTTAAATAAGTTTCCATGTACGTCCGTAAAACAAAATCTTTTAAAATTTACGATAAAATGAACTTATTAATTTGTGGACAAACAAGGAAACATACATAAACTGAAATGTTCTCAAAACGCCTGAAAAATCTGGCCGGCTTTTCGCAAGTAAATATAATTTCCATGGTCAATTATCGAGTGCGATCGCACCCGCTTCCCGACCAAGCCTGATATTCAAATATTATTAAAAACTTCAGGAACTTTCACAGATCACTTAAACAACGTTATAAAAAAGTACTGTATAAAAACTATAGCATTATGAAAAACGTTACATAAAACGCGCGTTAATTTTAAAATCAACCAATAAAAAATTGTTATTGGTTAATTTTAAAATTAATGCATGTTTTTACGGTCAATTAGTAACATTTTTCATAATGATAAACTTTTAATACAATACATTTTTATAAAGTTGTTTGTCACGTTTTTATAAGTTATTTAAGTTTTAATATTAATTGAACATCCACTTTATTCTTCTAGATATTTTTCTATTTCAATTAAAATTTGGGAATACTAATGTTGCTTGAACAAAGAATGAATTTTAAAAGTTATAAGTGCGTTATAAAAGTAATAACACTATTATAGTGTTATTATTTTTGTAATGCAGTTGGTGACTATAGTGTTATTACTTTTGTAATCATAAGTTTATTGTTTTATTTTTTATTTTTTCGCTAACAAATTTGATTCTCCCCTTAAAAACAAGGAAAATGGATTTGTATAAACTTAAATTTTGAATACTAGTCATTTTTCCAGATATTGCGTTTCGCATTTGCTTTTTTTTTTTTTTTTTTTTTAACATCTTTGCTTCCAACAAGGCTGCAAGCAACCACTAATTAGTGTTGGAAGTTACTGGAAGAGAAAAGATGAAGATTGTAGAGCAAGATAACGATTGATAGACGACTTAAAAGATTGCAAATTATATGAATCAGGAAAGCAAGATGAAGGAAGCGAATTCCAAAGAACTGATGTTTGAGGAAAAAAACTAGACAAGTAAGAGTTTTTGGAGCACTTAGGAACAGTAACAGAAAAAGGATGAGACTTAATTGAATGTCGAGTAACACAAGAATGAATTTTTGTAGATGGCACAAGAGACGCTAGCTCTTTAGAGCAGTGCCCATTATAGTATTTGTAGAAAAGAGAAAGAGAAGCAACATTACGACGATGTGACAGAGGTTGAAGGTTGGCTACAAGAGTAGGTCCAACTATGTTTTCAATGCGTTTTTGCACCTTGTCTTTGACTTTAGCAGATGCTAAAAAAACTTTAGCAGATGCTAATTTTGCAACGGATTTGATATAAGGTTTCCAAGAAAGATCAGAAGAGTTAATCCTAGAAGATGAAGGGTAGGAGACTCATCCAGTACATTACCGTTCATAAATATAGGAAGGTCTAAATTATTGCGATAAATCAACCCTTGATGTTACATTAAAATTATACAAATAAATTTTACAAACACATTACAACTTGTATTTTTGCTATCCTCTTAAAAAAAAAATTAAGAAAAGGAAAATCATTCTTTTTGTTGTAGACTTCAAACTGTTTTTGTTTTTTTTTTTTGCTTCGCTTTATCTAATTTTGTTGCTGAATGTAACAACCACTCTAAAGAAGCAAAAAATAAATACAGTACACAAATTATTTAAATTATTAATTTGTTTTTATTTTTTTCTATTTCAATCTCTTTTTATTTTGTTAGTTTTGTTTTTTTTGTTTTTGAAACTCAGCTTTATTATAAAACTTGCAAACAGCCGTGTTTAAGTTGTTTAAAATAATATACTCGATATATATATATATATATATATATATATATATATATATAATATATATATATATATATATATATATATATATATATATATATATATATATATATATATATATATGGGCAATTCCACGCAAGTGACAGTCGTAATATTTGACACTTTTTTAGTTATTAAAAGTCAAATAAGAATGATATTGATTTGAAATTTTCCAGAAATGTTAAATACTATTATAAAATTTAGTTTACAAAATTTAAAGTATTCAAATCTTCGACTTATTTGAAAAATCGTCTTAATGTAGCGTGACGGTCGTAACGCTTACTTTTTGACAATTCTAAACAAATCGGCTTTGACAATCTTTATGCAGTCATCTACACGGTGAAAAAAAAAATCCTTTGCTGTGTGCATTCACTACATATTAATCTTGCTATATGCCAAGTTTTATAGTTTTTGCTTAATGTTTTACAAGAATTTTATTATATTTTTTGTCGTGACGGTCGTAACCGTGACGGTCGTAACGAAAATGCCAATTGTGAAAAACAACTGAATGCATGGCGCATTTATTGAATTCATTGCAATGAATGGCGTAAAAAAGATGAGTGATTATAAAAACCAAGTAAGTTATGTTAAAATATACACATTATAACATTATCACTGGGATAATATTACATTTATAATGGGTATAGTGATCCGGGTATGACGATGACTGGGTATGATAATGATGACTGGGTATGATCATATTACTTTTATTTGGATTAAGCAAAAAATGCTTAATGCCCTTTTATTCTCCTGTATACTATGACTATGGTTTAAATAATAAAATCGTTTTTTACTTAGTTTAAATAATATAATCGTTTGCGCTTTAATTAAAGTCAAGAAGCCGTTTTGGAAAAAAAAACATATCGTGATGGTCATAACGTGCCTAATAACGTTTTGAAAAGGTGATCTAAAGCACTTAAAAAAAAAAAAATTAAAACAATAATAAAATTTGTATTATTATCTTTACTTTAACCATAGTTATAGTTTTAAAAAGTTTGATACAAAGCATAGAAAAAACTTTTAGACTTTTTTTCGTGACGGTCGTAACGTATTGTTTTCATAAATATATTTTTCTTATAGACCTAGATAGAGTGCGTTTTTATAAAAAAATATTATGAATAATGTTTAATTTATCCTTTAATTCAAACTTAGAAGTAATAGTTATTTAAAAAAGCAGCACTGAAACCTTTTTCAACACAGGGCTGAATATAAATGTTAAAAAATGTTTATATAACCCTTACAACTTTATAACTATGTTAAGCTATGATAAAAGGATTTTTTTTTGATAATTTTTTTCTTAAGGATATTCTTAAATAGTTGAAAAATAAGTGTATTGAGGTTACTATATGTTGGCGTAACATTTTTTTTTTTTTCCCCTCTTTTACGTGGAATTGCCCATATATATATATATATATATATATATATATATATATATATATATATATATATATATATATATATATATATATATATATATATATATATATATATATATATATATATATATATATATATATATATATATATATATATATATATATATATATATATATATATATATATATATATATATATATATATATATATATATATATATATATATATATATATATATATATATATATATATATATATATATATATATATATATATATATATATATATATATATATATATTCATATATATATATATATACATATATATATATATATATATATATATATATATATATATATATATATATATATATATATATATATATATATATATATATATATATATATATATATATATATATTAGGCTGGGTTAAAAAAAGTTTGGCCTAATATTATTTATTTATATATACAACTAAAAAAAAAATAGTTACCAGCAACTGCAAGAATATCAGCAAAAAGTGATGCTAGTTCTATACTATCCCCCTAAAAATAAAAGTTTGATTTATAAACATTTTAAAAAATAATAAGTTTTAACTAATTTTGGCAATTTATCAACTTTATTGAGGAAATTTTTTTGAATGTCTATAAATATTATATTTAAAATATATAACAATATTACATTTAATTTTAATAAGACAGTAGTGGTGTAGTGTTAAAGCGCTTGCTTTGTAAGAAGTTCCTAGCTTGATCCCCACATCTTTGTGAAGTGGTCTCATTCAAGTTTGGTGGAGATAAGGGACTAAGAGAGCGTTGTAACAATAACAAAAATAATAATATACAACTTCTTTGACTCTAACAGCCCCTTCAGCCTTGGGGAGGTGAATACAGAAAAAAAATCAAATTAATAATTTATAATTAATTTCAAAATTATCTTTTATAGAAAATGTAGTTTTCTGAAGATTTAAAAAAAATCGTTTATAATAAAAAGCAGAACAATAAAATCAAAAAAAAAATTGTGAAAGCCATTGTAACCTATATTGCCTTTGTAAGTTTGATTTCTTTTGTAATGTTAGATTGTTTACAGTTACAAAGTTAGACTGTTCACAGTTACAAAGTTAGACTGTTCACAGTTTTCAAAGTAAGTAACAAATCAGTTATAGCCAGACTGCTGAACCAACAGTTGGGATTAATCAAAATCCAGTCTGCAGGCTAAACATATTCTGATTTTAATTTTAAAAGTTGGGTGGTTTCTTTATAATGTTTAGTATTATAAAATAATATAAAAGCGATATGTTGTATTATAAGTTAAATGATAATGCTTAATCCATGTGTTTTTTATTTAATTTTAATTGAAATTAATTTCATGAAATTGTTAAATTTTAAATGAAAATGTTAAGTTTCAAGAAAATAAAAGTTTTAGCTAGATTAGCATAAAAAAATCTGCAGCAAAAGTTAACAAATCAATAAAAAGCTTAACTTTTATGAAGGAAAAAAAAAGTTGTAAAGATATATATTTTTTTAATTTTAAAAAGTTTTAAAGATATAGTTTTAAAAAATATACACTTAATAAATAAAAAATTGTTACATATAACATCTATTTATTAGGGTTAAGCTTTCACAAAAAATTTACCAGTAAATCAGTAAAATGGTTTTATCAATTTACTGGTAAAATTGTCAATAAATTTAAGTAAAAAATGATTTTTACAATACTATAAATTTAACAGTACATTTGATTTTTAGTCACAAATAATGGAATATTATTTTACATATTGCTTAAAGTTTTTATGTATAATGTTTTCATTTTTTGTAAATCAAAACTCCACCTCAAAAAACAAAAGCTGTAACAGAGTCAAAAAAGACAACAATTTTTTTTCGTCATAATTAAACGTAGGCAACAGCATTGTCTGCTCAGTTACAGATAGAGCTTCCATTATGGTTAAGTTAGGCAAAATGGTTCTAACTGACCATCAAACATGTTACACCAGCAGAATGCATTTGGCTATTAAATTAAATTTATATTAACACATTGCAAGTAACAAGCAACAGAGATGAAATTAGCATTGACAAATCTGATTTTGACACAGATATCAGTTTTCTAGATGCTACTATGGATCAAAACATTTCCATTCCATAAGGTGTACCTACAATCTGTTATCACAAAAATAAGAAAAATCGTCAACTTATTTTAAAAAATCTCCAGTAAAAAATGACGCCCTCCAAGAAGAAATCAAGAAACAGCACAGAAAAGAGTATTTGCTTATCTTTGACTGCAGAAAAAGATGGAACAGTCTCCTATCGATGATTCAACAGTTTCTAAAAAGTTAATGAATAAAGGTATTAAAAGACATTTCTCTACATTTGATTTGCATTTGATGATGAAGTTAACATTTGATAGAACCCCTTGCTGACAGGATGCAACTTTTCTCAATGGAGTTCTTAAGTTTCTTGTAAACTGGCTAAAACAACATAATTCAACACTTTGCATTGAAGTGAAGAGTGCAATTTTGAGACATTTTGAAGAAAGAAGGCAGAGCAATCTAATAAGATTGTACAGATATTTTTCATATCCAAAATGTTTATCCAACATTAAAGAACACGGAATTTTTAAAATTCCCTCAAAGTCTGTACGTCAAAAGACTGCCAAAAACTGGCTTCTAGGCTTTTCTCATTGAATCCAGATGACTTAGAATTCATTCAAAAAGTTTATGGTTCAGAAAATCTTGACCCAAACCCACTTTCACTTAAAGATGAGCTAAAGGAAAATAATATCACAATTCAAAAAACATTTCAAGTCATTTCAAAAGAAATGTTGGTCTATGAAGTTACTGGAAAAAAGACTGCTGATCTTTTGCTTAATGCACTGGAGACTATCCCTCTAACAACTCATCTTATTATTTTATTGCGGTAGTTAAAACACGTAACGTCTATAAAAAAAAATAAAGGTAATTTTATGACGTCAAAATCGTGTTAAGCTAATGCATTAAGCACTTTTTTATTTAAAACAAGGTCTGATACAACATAACTAAGCCAGGTGAATAAAAAAAGCAACTGCTTTTACTCAGCATTTTTGAAGTTACTGATCAGCTTTGCGAGAATAAAAATTTGAGCAATTTTTCTCAAAATTCTTGTTCACGTAAAGCTGAGCAATTATTGCAAAAATATTGAATAAAATTCACCCAGCCTACTGAAAAGTTATTTTGTCAATACAAAAACTTGTGTTAATATAAAACAACTTTGCTACATTGTTTTATTGCTATTTTTACAGTTTACAACATTAAAAAACAAAAAATGTGTTTAAAATAAAACAAAGTAAATAAATGGAATTATCCAAATTAATAATTTTATTAATTTGGATAATTCCATTTATTTCAAACCATCAATTCAAAACAAATATTAAGTTTACAATTTTATAATGGTCATTTTTCAATAATTTTATTTCATTAGAATTAATGAAAAAATAACCATTATAAAATTTTTAACTTAATATTTGTTAGAAAAAATGGTCTATCTATAGACCAAATGATTATCAAATTAAATGAATAATTAAACAATTAAACTCAAAAAAATATTAAACTTATTAGACATCACGTTTTTTCTAATTATTTGTTTTTCTACTATTAAAAATATAAGTATGAAAAATTTTATCATTCAATGGATTTTTAAGTTGATATTTACATTAAATTTTTCAAAAAGAGAGAAAAAATTTGGTTTAATAAATGGAATTATATTTCTATAAGTATAAGTATATGCTTAAATATTTATTTCAAAATATATTTTTTGAATAGAATTAGAACTATTTTTTTAAATCTTTAATTAACAAACACTTAATCTCTCATCTTGAATCTAATAACTTACTTTCTGATCATCAATATGGATTTCGATCTTCTCATTCTACGGCTGATTTACAAACGGTAATAACCGATAGGTTTTATCGTGCATTAGATAAAGGTGGATAGGTTAAGGCCATTGCTCTTGGCATTTTTAAAGGTTTTGATAAACTTTGGCATGCTGGTCTTCTCCATAAGCTTTCTTCTTACGATGTATCTGGAAACATCTTTAAGATTATCAAATCCTTCTTTTTCAATCGTAGTATAAAAGTTGTCCTTGATGGACAGCACTCTTCTTCTTATTCTGTAATCTCAGGGGTTCCTCAAGGTTCAATCCTTGGTCCTATACTCTTTAATTAACATTAACGATCTTCTCACATCTAAGGTGGCATTGTTCGCTGATGATACTACTATTTATTCTTGTCATGATAAGAAGCCAACACTCTCTGATTACTTAGAGGAGGCATTTGAGCTTGAAAAGAATCTCACTTCTGCTACAGCATGGGGCTCACAGTGGCTGGTGAACTTTAATTCAGATAAAACTCAACTTTTTTCAGCCAATCGTTATCGCAATAATTTAGACCTTTCTATATTTATGAATGGTAATGTACTCGATGAGTCATCTATCCTTTATCTTCTAGGATTAACTCTTCCGATCTTTCTTGGAAACCATATATCAAATCCGTTGCAAAATTAGCATCTGCTAAAGTTGCATCTCTTTATCAAGATTGACACTTTCTTACTCTGGATTCTATTCTCTATCTCTATAAATCTCAAATCCGACCTTATATGGAATACTGTTGTCATATCTGGGGCGGATTTTCTAATGATGCCCTTTCCCTTTTTGCCAAGGTGCAAAAACACATTGTAAACATAGTTGGGCCTGCTCTTGCAGCCAACCTTCAACCATTATCACATCATCTTAATGTTGCTTCTCTTTCTCTTTTCTACAAATACTATATTGGGCACTGCTCTAAAAAGCTAGCGTCTCTTGTGCCATCTGCTAAAATTCATTCTCGTGTTACTCGTCATTCAATTAAGTCTCATCCTTTTTCTGTTACTGTTCCTAAGTGCTCAAAAAACTCTTATTCGTCTAGTTTTTTTCCTCGAACATCAGCTCTTTGGAATTTGCTTCCTTCATTTTGCTTCACTGATTCATATAGTTTGCAATCTTTTAAGTAATCTGTCGATCGTTATCTACAACCTTCATATTTTCTCTTCAAGTAACTTCCAACTCTAATTAGTGGTTGCTTGCAGCCTTGTTGGAAGCGAAGATGTTTAAAAATATATATATACATTTTTTAATTAAATTTTTATTTTCACTTATTTAATGTTTCAATAGAATGTTTCTAATGAAATATTCTATTGAAACATTTTTAAAAAACAAAAAAACAACACAATTTCAAAAAATAATTAATTACTAATAAAATGTTTTAAGATTAAAAAATAAACTTAGTCTCATATTGATACTTAATTTCATATTGTTACTGTAGCTAGATCTATGTTTGGTCTTCAGGAGTGATTCTTGCTATGGGTATAACGGATGTTGCTGCAGTTTTCATTTGATTAAATTAAATTTAAAGTAAGCTAGCATTATAAACTCGATAAAAATCTTTTTAAATTCATTTTTATCAAAATTTTAAATTCAAAATTATTTGAATTAGAGAATTTTAGAAGACTGAAATTTTCTTCTTTAAATAATTTTTAGTTAGAAGCTTATTATGCATTTACAAAATATCTAGTTTAACAAATCTTTGTATTCTATAATATTTTGACAAAGTCAATGAACAAAGTGAATTTTATGACAAAGAAAATTTTAAACCAATTAACAGTTTAAGTATAGAACAATAACAACTTAAAACAGAATTATAAACAAAAAAAATCTTGAAATAAATCTTATTTGAATGTCTTTAAATTAAGGCCTATAGCAGATAGTTGTAATGGATCTTATCATTAAAAGTAACTTTAAATTAAAAAACAAAACTAATACTTACTATAGCATTTTCTAGCAGTGATATTGTATCTGAAATTATTGACTGGCCGCTTATGGTTAGCCATATTAACTGATGAAAGCCTTTACGAAGATCTAACAAATTATCAATAAATAAACGTTAATATGATAAAAACAAATGATTTTAATAATAATAAAAAAAATAACATTATATATATATATATATATATATATATATATATATATATATATATATATATATATATATATATATATATATATACAGGCCTTGCGATAAAGCGTCGGGCGATGTGACTTTTACGTCGTCCAAAAGCGATTTTGCGTGTAGCTAGGGCTATTTGCGTCGAGCAAAAAATTTTTTGTTTGAGTACATTTGAAGATATTTTTGAGAGGAATTTTAATGAAAATATTTTAAAAACCGCACACAGTTGATATAAAAGTTTGAATTAAAAAAAATTAAATATGCTCGTTATTTAAAGTAGAAAAAACTCAGATTAAAAAAAAAGTTTAAATCTTTTAAGCTAACATTTTAATAAAATTATTCAGCAATAGCAAAGTTGTCGATAAAATTGAACAAAAATACTTTCTTTTAGTTTTAGATTTTAAACTTAAATAATTATTTTATGGGGGTTTGTTAGGTTTTAAAGTTATTTCATAGATTTAAAAATATTTTTTAACTGTTAGACGTATTTAAAGTATTTAAGAGTAATTTCGAGGAAACATTTTAAAAATTGGTGAGCGCAAATAAAAAAAAAATAAAAGGATTGAATTAAAACGTATTTTACTTGATTCAATAAAAAAGAACAGTTATTAAAATTTTTGTAAAAAGTAACTCAAAAAAATTACTTAAATAATAACGATCGCTTTTATGTTAAAAGTTACCGAAACTCAACGAAGCGTCCTCAAGTACAGCTGCTGAAAAATAGAACGTCAATAGTTTTTCGAATAATTTTTAATAATATTTTTTAAGAATAATTTTTTCGCTGAAATATTTTTTTTATACCTATAAGATTTTTATTCTAACATTTTATTTTATTTTACTAGAAATAAAATTCCTTGTTAACATTAAAAATCTATTTAAAACGTTCGTTTAAGTTTTTAATTAATACGAGTGATTGTGCTTATCAACCACTTTATGAAAAAAAATTAAGTTTTTATTCATCACAAGGCCTGATATATATATATATATATACATATATATATATATATATACAGGCTTAGACAGGAATGGCGTGCGATCGCACTCTGTAACTGACCACGCTAATATTTTTATTTCTTTACAACTTGACCACGGCTTTTTTGATGTTTTAACAATTTGAATGCAATAAAAAAAGTGTTATGTTATAAATCTCTGTTAATCGTTGATCTTTTCTAAAGTTTTCTATTTTAAGCAAAGGCTTTAAATAAAACCATAAAATTAATTATAGTTATTGTTTACATAAACGCTTGTGTAAATTAATAAAAAACATTATAAATAAGTTTTTTTATGTAGGCATTTATTTTTTATGATAAATTTAAACCTTTGAAACTATTTTCTTGTCTTCCTAAAATATTTTTAAACCATTTTATTTTAGAAAGAATTTTTTTAAGTTACTTTAATTTGTGAATAAGTTCAAAAGCTTTTGTGACGACTAACTTTTACACATTTTATGTGAATTACACAAGAATATAAAATAACTTTATTTACTAATATAAGCATGTATTTTGTTGATTTAATGAAAAAGTTTTAAAGCATTTTGTAATGTTCATACGATTAATTTTTATGATTAAACTTACGATTTTTTTAAATGTTTTAAATAAACATTTTATTTTTTGTAAACAATTTTTTTTTTTTTTTTTTTTCCAATTTCGTTAAAAATGAATGAGATTAAATCTTTTATAATAATTTTTAAATTCGTTACGCGAAGCGCTTATTAATAAAGTTGTAATGCTCAAATTAAAATTAAATAATAAAGTTTGTTGGCAGTTTATTTTATTTAAATTGCAGGCGCATTTTATTTATTTATTTTTCTATTTTTACAAATAAAAAAGTTCAAAACCTTTTTTTTAAGGAGACTCACTAATTAGAGCATGAAATTAGTAAAAATTACTATTTTAAAAAGCCTATTTTTAAATAAATTTAATAAAATTTGTTCTTTTATTAAATCAATCGTTAGTAGTAATTTGTTATTTAATTTAAAAACGTTTTGCGTAACTTTAATAACGCTTAGAAAGATAAGTTTTAACGTTTATTTTATACGTAATTAAAAACGTAACAAAAAGTTTTGCTTCGAGTTTAAGTTTTCATTTTCATTTTAGTGCTTATATGATTTCTTTTTCGTTATAAATTTGTTTTTCGTTTCTTTTTTCGTTAGTTTTTTTTTTTTTCGTTAGTTTTTTTTTTAAATTTTTTCCTAGTTTAAGTTTAGCTTAGCGTTTCTACATTCAGAACATTTCTGAAATTTTTAACTTATCAAAACATAAACATTGTTTATTAAACAATTGTGGTCAAGTTGTCAAAAAATAAAATCATTTGCGTGGTCAGCAATAGCGCTCGATCGCACGCCATTCCTGTCCAAGCCTGTATATATATATATATATATATATATATATATATATATATATATATATATATATATATATATATATATATACATATATATATACATACATACATATATATATACATACATATATATATATATATATATATATACATACATATACATATATATATATATATATATATATATATATATATATATATATATATATATATATATATATATATATGCATATATCTTATTATATACATATCTATATCAGGCCTTGTTTTAAAGCGTTACGCCTAGAGCGATTTACGTACGCCTTAAGCGATTTTTACAAACGCGTAGAGCTGTTTTGGTTAAGCTACTTTTTATCATTTTTTAACTTTTAAATTAGCAGTAACATAAAAGAAGTAATTTATTAAAAAAAAAACCACATTAACTTTTAAATAACGATAACGAAAAAGAATTTACGTTAAAAATAATTGTTGTAACTTTTCATTGCAATATATCTTACCTTTTTATAGCAATTAATTTTAAAGTTTTTAGTAAAAAACTTTTAAAAAATCTATATTCGATATTTATTAATACAGAATATAAATGTTTTTTGTAATATAGATTTTTTAAGAGTTTTTTACTAAATTTATAATAAAAAACATTTGCAAAAAAATTTGTAATTAAAGATTGACATTTTTTTTAATATCTCAAAAAATGTCTTAATATTTTTGTTATCATGATAACAAAAATATCAAGACATTTTTTCGAGATATTAAAAAAAATGTGCAAATGAATGAACAAACTATTTGTATTATTCTAAAAATTACTTCATTAATTATTTCTCTGATTATCTTATTAGTTAAAGGATACCATTACCTTTAAGTTATGCGGGGGGGAGGGGGCCGGCACAGAAAAAAAAATTACCTGTTACTCGCAATTTTTGAATGAAGACAAATTGTTAAATTTCTTCTGCGTGCGATTTAATAAGTTTTTTTCATAAATCAAGTTATATTATAAGGTAAAGAAATCACGAGTAGACTAGAACATCTGCTGATAACACTAATATTACGTTGAATATATTTATATAACGGAGGTTTCATTATGTACGCGCACATTACAGATTCCGTTAAATAAATACTGAGGCACGTTTTAGATTAATGACAGTCTCTATTTTTTACTAAAGAATATGTATTTTTCTTTATAAAACAAACTAGTATATAAAAACCTTGTATATTTCTATTCTCTCTAAATTGTTTAAAGTTCGAATATAGATTGTATTTTGAAGGACAAAAGATTTACTTCAAAACTTTTAAATCTTTTAAGACTTAGCCGATGCAACGATCACAGAAAAAGAGAAGACATACGTTATCAAATGTAAATTATAAATCAAATGTAAGTTATATGATCTTCATCAAAATAAAATATTATCCAAAAACAATGGTGCCGTAAGGGCAGCTGCCCTACGGTTTATAAATAACACAAGTCATGTTAAAATATTTTAAAATGTTACTATATTTTAATTAAGTTGATATTAAAATAAAATAAAAAAATATAGTTCAATAAATAAATTTAATTTGTTCTTAAGAAAGATTACCTCATATTTATTCTTTTTTTATTTTATTAAGTAAAATTGCTTACAAACAAAAAAAAAAAAAGTTTTGTAATTATACGTAGAATAAAAATACTTTTGAGTTTGTTTATAAATTAAAGAACTTAATTTTTAATAAACAAATTTTTACGAACCTTTATTATAAACAGATACAATTCAAATTATTAAATATACTTAAATAATTTTAGTTGAGTATTTTTTTAAGTTTGCACGATTAAAGTTTTGCGTAGAAGTATTTGTTTTTTGTTTTAAGAATAATAAACAAAACAGTTTGCATAATTAAGACTTTTATATTTAATTTAATTTTTTTTTTTAATTTCCTAAAATTTAAAAAAAAAAAAAGATTTAATTGTTAAAAACGATTTTTCTGTATAGCTCTGTTTCTTTGTGATTTTGTTTAAAATGTAAATAATTGACATGGGTTTTTGTTTATCAATGTTAATATTTTTTATTGACTCCAGAAATTTTTAAAAATAAAAAAAATCATTATTTTTTATTCAATAACGAAATTTTTAATTTCATTCAATAATCAAATTTCAGAAATAATTAAAATGTATATATATATATATATATATATATATATATATATATATATATATATATATATATATATATATATATATATATATATATATATATATATATATATATATATATATATATATATATATTTACAAATAATATTGAACTAAAAATAATAATAAAATAACAATTGAAAACGTTTCAAACTTTTCATAATATATTTACATTTTAAAACGTTTATAGTTATTTGAGTTATTTGTTAAATTGAATTAGTTTGCGGTTATTTATTTATTGCGGTAAAAAAAATAAAGATAATTTTATAACGCCAAAATCGCATTAAGCTAATGCATTAAACACTTTTTAATTTAAAACAAGGCCTGTATATATATATATATATATATATATGTATATATATATATATATAATATATATATTATTATTATTATTATTATTATTATTAT